TGCTATGAAGTAAAGTCTCACTTCCATGTCTGACTTCAGGTTTCAGCAGGCCCCTTAGCAATGTGGATCCCTGTCATTTCCTTTTCCTCCTCGAACCAGACTCTCCCCACCCCCAACTTGGTCATACCTCAAAGTGAAACAGTTTTGACTAACGTGGTAACCCCCCTATTGTCAAAGAAAGCTTAGCAGCACTTCCCAGCAGAACCATTAAGACTGCAACCCTATATCCACTTCCCTGAGAGCAATTCCCACTGAACTCGATGGGATTTGCCTTTGAGTGCACAAGGGACTCAGGTGGCGCTGTGGGTTAAACCACAGAGCCTAGGACTTGCCGATCAGAAGGTCGGTGGTTCAAATCCCCGTGATGGGCAAAGAGCATCATACAGTGGTACCTCAGGTTACAGATGCTTCAGGTTACAGACTCCACTAACCCAGAAATAGTACCTTGGGTTAAGAACTTTGCTTCAGGATGAGAACAGAAATCACGCAGCGGTGGCAGCAGGATGCCCATTAGCTAAAGTGGTGCTTCAGGTTAAGAACAGTTTCAGGTTAAGAATGGACCTCCGGAACGAATTAAGTTCTTAACCGAGGTACCACTGTAGATACCTAAGCATGCTGTGTATTTTATTGATTTAAAAAAATGCAAAACACTTATTGTACTTTGGAACTGCAGATGTAGACATTTCCCCTGCTTGGTTTTGAGTTGCTTAACTTTATTCCTTCCAATTAGCAATGATTTCATCAGTTGCACAGAGTGGGCTTCATGTATTTAAAGCATACGAAGCTGGGTGTATTAGGAACTTGGCTGTAGTGTGCTTATCTGCGTCTCTCTTTTTTTAAAAAATAAAAAAAAACATATCTCAAAAGTACCCAAAGTCGAAGGCAGGCTTCTATAAGAATACACAAGCATTTGCTGGGAAAAATGGGAACTGATTCCCATTCAAAGCCACTCTGTGGCTTCAGAGAAGCTAAGACTACAAGCTCCTCTCCTCACTTATTTTTTTTTTTGGGGGGGGGGGTTAAGGAACAAAAGACACAGCTCCAGCGAAAGACAGGCACAGAACTTGTGGGGCTCCGTGCAAATGGAAAGAGAACAGGGCTTCTCTTCTGCGACTCCTCCTACTGTCTCCTCTCTGTCTGGCATCCTTGATTGTTTTTGGTCCAAGAAAATGACTTTCTTAGGACTCTAATGAGATTGCACCAGGAGAGAGAGGAAATAGGGGCTTCAAGGAGAAGAGTATTGATTTGGGAGTTGCTCCTACCCATTGTGTTATCTGCAGAAGGAAAGATAGCAGTGGCAAGCAGAAGAAAGTGGCAAGTGGGGGCTAATTGTGAGCCCCTGGAAAGTATTTGCAGCTGAGATGTAGGGCTCATGCAAGTATGAACCTCAGCCTAGTTCAGAACCTACTCTCCCCCTAGATACTTTTGCCTTTCCTATTGGACAGCAGCCAATAGTATACTGCAGTATACTATTGCAATCCTATGCATGTTCTGTAAGTAGCAATTCACATTTAGTTCAATGGAGCTTACTCCTAAGTAAGCATTGCTTTAGGTTTGCAGCCTTAGAGAATGTTGTTCAAGTATCCTTATACAGAACCCATCCTGCACTTTTAATATACAGTGGTACCTCGGGTTAAGTACTTAATTCGTTCTGGAGGTCCGTTCTTAACCTGAAACTGTTCTTAACCTGAAGCACCACTTTAGCTAATGGGGCCTCCTGCTGCTGCCGCGCCACCACTGCGCGATTTCTGTTCTTATCCTGAAGCAAAGTTCTTAACCCAAGGTACTATTTCTGGGTTAGCAGAGTCTGTAATCTGAAGCGTATGTAACCCGAGGTACCACTGTACTTTTAAGAGGGGAGGGGAAATATGAAATTATTTTCAGAGGATGCCTGTCCTCAGAATTGTGTAATGGCCCACGAGGTTTTTACAAAAGCAGAAGGGTTGTCTGGCAGACGTGGGCTGTGTTTAGCTTGGTGAGTTACAAATTGTACAAATCTGTTCTATAGTTATATCAACAGCTTCTATATTGTTACTGTATTGTGCCTATCAAAATAAAGCTTCCGCTACTCATTGGCGGAGCAGATCTGATCGCGCCGAGTGTTTAGTTCCTTAGGGAACAAAAACAGTTTGAAGCCCAGCTTCTATGAGGAAGGGGAAGTAGTTTCATTGGGGTGGAAACCTTGGGGAGAGCTGGGAAGAAGTACAAAGGTTTATATTGCAGAGAGCAAAACTAGGTGGTTGAATGTTACAGATAGGTAGCCGTGTTGGTCTGCCATAGTCAAAACAAAAAAAATTCCTTCCAGTAGCACCTTAAAGACCAACTAAGTTAGTTCTTGGTATGAGCTTTCGTGTGCATGCACACTTCTTCAGATACACAGTGTATCTGAAGAAGTGTGCATGCACACGAAAGCTCATACCAAGAACTAACTTAGTTGGTCTTTAAGGTGCTACTAGGTGGTTGAATGTTCAGGTCAGAGCTTTCCAAACTGCGTGTCGGCTTCAGTGTCTACATGTGTCATGTGAGTGCTCCCCACACTTCTCCAGGGGCTGGAAAGAGGCTGGTTTAACCTCCAGTTTGCTAGTAAAACTGAATTACTGTGTCACGAAGTGATGCATGTCTAAAAAGTGTGTCACCAACATGAAAAGTTTAGAAAGCTCTGGTTTAGGTGGCAGAAAGGGGTGTACTACTTCACACTGCAGGTCGGTTGAAAAACCCTTTGATTGCATTGCCACCGAACAGATCTCCGAAAACAGAAAACTAACATGTCATAGAGGAATATCTGAGGTGCTCGTTTTCCTTTTGCAGTAGAGTCATACCTCATGTTACGTCTGCTTCATGTTACGTTCTTTCAAGTTACGTCCCATGGCAACCCGGAAGTACCGGAAAGGGTTACTTCCGGGTTTCGCCACTCGCGCAGAAGCACAAAATGACGTCATGTGCAGAAGCGCCGAATTGCAACCTGCGTGTGTGCAGACGCGCCGCTGCGGGTTGCACTCTTTTCATGTTGTGAACGGGGCTCCGGAACTCCGGCCTCTGGATCCCGTTCACAACCAGAGATACCACTGTAATGTGACGCCACACTGCACCCATTTGCAGAGTACATAGCACAGGTCAATGTATGCATCTGTCATGCAGCCTATTCACAGCTTGGGCCTTACATCTGATCTGACATTTGTACTAGGGCACACACAACCATGCAGCATAGCCTGAGAGCACCTTGCAGTGCTCCGTGCCCAGTGCTTTTCCCTCCCTAGAAAAATAGGTGCCGCTACTCACCATGAAGTTGGTACAGTAAGTGCCGCACTTTTTAACAACAACAAAAAGAGGTGCCCGTACTGCATACACTTGAGCACCCTCTGGGGGGAAAAGCACTGCCCAATAACTGTTATGCTATAGCACATTTCCAAGAAGGTGTGACATACCCCCAAGAGATGCAGGTGTGTTTTTCCTAAGGGTGCCCCTATGGCCACAGCTGGAAACCAAGAGAGTTTAGTTCATTTTCACCTGCCAGTCTCGCACCACAGCAGGGAATGAGGAAATAGTGAAGTTTTCAGCATTTCTGTACACATTCTTAGGCTTGGAAAATTGCAGATTTGTGTGTCACCCCGAGTCAACATGTAGCCTTCTGAGAAAGGATAATACACGCTGGTGTTATGTTACTCCAGCAGGTTCCTCACCCTTCCACCATTCAAGAGAGCACCCAGTGAGCTGGTGGCACACATTCATGCATGGAAGTTACTTGATAACCTCGCCCCGTGCGTGCCAAACATCACTCTCCCAGTTTAATTCAGAAGTACGGAGGTTGCCAACTTTCGTGGACCAGTGGGCATACCTGGAATTTTCCATAAGTGCCGTGGGCACCAGTCACAAAATGGTAGCCGTATCTGCAAATTAGAACAGAGGCAGAACTACAGAATAGTGTAGGCATGCCCTGCCCCTGCCCTCACCAGTAGGAGAAAGGCATTTAAATCAATCACTTCTATGCTCACTCACACGGAGAAACTTTGCACCTCTCTTCCATTCTGAATGGAAGATCATCTGGGTATCCAGTCCTGGCATTCAGTGAAATGTGGGCGTGTTTAAGCAATGTGTTTGATGTAGTAGAGGCCAAGCCACCACACACAGGAGCTGGGCAAGAAGAGCATTGTGGATTTTTGAGGGAATATTGACTGGTACCTTTTACAGGTTGCCACACGAGGCACTGGTGGGGGAACTGTCACCTATAGGTAATGCATTGACAGACCCTGCCAGTGTTGCAGTCTACTGGAGTCTTTTATTATTATTTTAAAGTAAAGGGAGACTTCTACTGTTTGTTATTAGAGAAGATATAATTTGCGAAACGTAGAATCCGAACTGTACGAGGTTGCAGTCTTGTAATGCCCTTCTACGGACGAATAAATAATGCATGTGACTTGGCTCCTCAGCAGATCTGTGAATTGTCATTGGGATTCCACACTCTTGCATTTCACAGAGCCATCAGTAGGCTAGCTTCGTGCATTGCTTTCGTGTGCTTTGCCCATGGGAGGGACTTGTTGCAGCCGTATCTGTAAAAAAAAAGCATTTCATTCGGTTATACCGCTACTGCCCACTCTTGTGTTTTCGCCTACTTATTTTAAAAAGGAGGGTGAAATGCAATGCTGACATTCCATTTGTGGAGAGGCTTTTGAGTCTATAGAAGCACCTGCTAATATAAGAACAGTGTGGAAAGTGGTGTAAAGTGGGGAGGGGCTGCAGGGCAAAGGTGAAACCAGAGAACATTGCCTCCCCGTCTCACACTAGTAGGCGTCTCCACTGACTCATAATCCGCTCCACAAGCAGGATGGCTACACTGGATTTCACCGAATGTCTACTTAGCATACGGTTCTCTTCATTTTGGGGGCTTGTAAAAGCAAAGAACGGAACAACCGTCACCTTGAGTGCAGAATTTGAACTCTGGAACTATACAGTTCTGTAATGCCCACTTTTTCCCTTCTTTTTTTTCATTTCTTTGTTTTTAGCTCAACGACTCAGCTAAACACCTTATTGAGATGGACAAGACCAATCTAACTTCCGCATCTGGCAGTGATGTCCCTTTGCCAGCTGACACTAACCTGGCCGTAAACACGGTCCAGTGCTGTACATTGAACAGTGCCGGAGCAGTCAGTGCCATTCAGAGGCACATTGATGGCAAGAAGAATGCCAAGAAGCGCCACTCCTTCACTGCTCTCAGTATGACACACAAATCTTCTCAGGCCATGAATAACAGGCATTCCATGGAAATTAGCGCCCCTGTCCTCATCAGCTCAAGTGACCCCCGTGCTGCTGCCAGAATTGGAGATGTGACTCATCTCTCATCCAGCGCTCCAGTCCAGGTATGGATGAATTAAACCACAATGCTAAGCCAGGTCCCCTTAGCACCTTCCTTTGATTTGGCCTTCTAGCCAAATGATGGGTTGCAAAACCAAGTTCCCAAGAGATAGTCGCTGCCTAAGCATCCACCAGATGGAGCCAATGAGGCAAAATTCCCTTGATGGGTGCTCACCCTCATGCAAATAAATGGTAAATAAGTGAATATCTGAAAGAACCACATCCCTCTCGCATTTTCCTGCCCATGTGTTATAATTTGTGGGGAAGCCCTGTTTGTGGTGCCACACCCCAATGGGACTCGTGGCCAGGCCTTCTCAGTGGTGGCCCCTTGCCTGTGGAATGACCTTCCCTCTGGCGTGCATCTCTCCATAACATCATTGTCATTGCATTGTGAAGGTGCACCTCTTTGCTCAGACTTTTGGGTAAGGGAGAGAGGTACGTTGGGTTGGGTTTTTGTTGCTGCTGCTGTTTTATTTGTATGAAATTTATATTGTTCTGTTTTTGATATTATTGCTTTTAAGTTTTGTGTATTTATACCATGGGACCTTTTGAGTGCAGGGTGGTGTATATGTTTGGTAGGTGAGCAAACATCTGTACATACATGTGTGATGAGATCTTCAGTTCAGAGTCATGGTACACCATATGATACTACATTTTATAGTAAGTCTAAACCACTGAGCCCTCTTGGGCTTCGCCAGTTAGAAGGTTTGGCGGTTGAATCCACGCCACGGGTTTGAGCTCCTGTTTCTCTGCCCCAGCTTCTCCAACGTAGCAGTTTAATAAGCACGCCAGTGTAAGTAGATTAATAAGTTACTGCTGCAGTAAAGGTAAAAAGGGACCTACCATTAGGTTCCAGTCGCGGACAACTCTGGGGTTGCGCGCTCATCTCGCTTTTTGCGGTGCCAGCGTATAGCTTCCTCATGCGCCAGCTGAGTTCGCTCTGCACCAGAGCACGATGGAAACACGTTACCTCCGCCGAGCATACCATTATTCTATTTTGATGTCCGAACTCTAGCTCACTCACAGGATTCGAACTGCCAACTTCTGATCAGCAAGCTCTAGGCTCTGTGGTTTAGAACACAGCGCCACCTGCGTCCCATAACCTATGTCCCATAACCATTACCTGCTGCAGGGGGCAGGTAAATGGCGTTTTCAGGTGCTCTGGCATCCGTCACGGTGTCCCACTGTTCCAGAAGCGGTTTAGTCATGTTGGCCACATGACCCGGAAAGCTGTCTGCAGGCAAACGCCAGCTCCCTCGGCCGCACCCCATAGTCAAGTTTGACTGGGCTTAACTATCCATGGGTCCTTTACCTTTACCTTAAATTCTGTACTACCATACATGGAAGAATTAGCACTCAGAAAACTGTCCAGAGTTCAGAATGAAAGGATATGCAATTTTATTGCAAAGTATTGTACTAATAATGCAGGTTAAAAGGATTATAGTAATTGTGAGTGGGTACTAATTTGGGAGGTGACTGTGTGGGGAAAGGATGCACAATAGTGAGCAAGATGGTTTAATGTCTGTTGGTATATAGGGCTTCTGGTCTGACACTGAAGCTAAGAAATAGGCTGCAAGCAAAATACAAATTACCAGGGTTCAGGCTTCCGTAACCTGGTACCTTTCATATATTCTGGACTGTAATTCTCATTGTTCCTGACCATTGACCAGACTGGCTGGGGTGAAGGGAGTCATAGTCCAAACATCTGAATGGACAAGGTTGGGAAGGCTGTATACAAAAAAAATTGGCAACTGGTCATATACCCAACATATACAGTCTCTAACATGGCCTATTTATTTACAGTGTCATTGGCCACCTTTCAGTAAATATGCTCTTGAAAGCCTTTAATGAAAACCTAGCAGTGTGTGATGAGCAGTAATGTTCTTGCCAGCCTGCAGCATATTTGAAAGATTAGCTACCAAAGTGGGAATTCGCCAGGAAGAATAGAATTCTTTCCATGCCCTGTCCCTTCACTCACTGCTGTTTTTTTAAAAGGCAGATGGATAACCCAGAGGTTTTGAAGTACAGTAGAAAAACAGTGGACTTGCATGTCCCATTTATTCATGGGACCTATTCAGAATAGTACTGCAATGAATCATAGAACCCAGCCCCTAAAGTGCAGGAATATGCAGTTGTCCCATACGGGGATCAAACCTGCAACCTGGGCATCATCAGCACCACGCTCTAACCCAGTGTTTCCCAACCGGTGTTCCGCAGCACACTAGTGTGCCGCCGGACGTTGCCTAGTGTGCCGTGGGAGGGAGGCGGGTGAGTCGGGCTAATCCTCCGACGAGCTCCACCTCCAGACCCATTGCTCAAATCCTTTAACCCAGGAGGGCGGGGAGGGGGGGGAGAAAGAGAAAAAAGAAAGGGTGGAAAAAAAAAGGGGAAGAGAAAATATTTTTTTAAAAAAAGGAAAGAGAGGGAAAAAAGCAAGGGATGGAGGAAGGGGAATAAACAGAAGGGGAGGACAATGAAGAGGGGCGGGGCTTGGCAGGCAGCAGATAACTGGGGAGGGGGGCGCGGCTGGCGGCGGCTCAAGGCAGGAAGGGAGGAGCTGCCTCGCGGAGAGTCTTGGGCTGCAGAGATTTCCCGTTCAGGAGCACGGGAGGCCACGCCATGGATGGGAATCTCCTCCTCCTCTTCCTCCTCCTCCTCCAGGAGAGAGGGTGGTCCACCCCACCGAGTCGGGCGTGCTCAAGCGTGGGAGCCTATAGTTAGAGCTCAACTCCTTTTCTTGCCTTCCCCGCCCCCCCACGGAGCACATTTTCCTCGCCCCCCCAACCCCCGCATGTAGAATAGAAGCCCTCCAGCCTCCACGGTGCACAAACTCTCCCCTCTGCAACGAAGCGCTTTGTTGCATATCTTTGGTGAGGTTTTTAGGCAGTCTTGGTACACCTTAAATCAGCGCTAATTGTGCCTGGACGCAGTATTTACTTCCGAGTAGGCCCCCTTCTCCCCCCCCCCCCGGTAGCACCTGACGTTGCTATTCGTATCATCAGGTTTGTTTGTTGATAATTTAATTGCTTTAAAAGCATCATGCTAAAGAGCTCTCTCCCACCCCCAGACCCTTGGGCAAAACAGAAACACACACATACACAAACACAGAGATTGAGCCCTGCAGGTTTTATGAAATGAATGGATTCTGAATGCCTGTTTCAGTGGCTTGTCCGCCTTAGGCTGCTGGGCCAGACACCTGTTACACGGTGCAGTCCGTAAGCTGTGAGCGCTGCTACCTGCCGCCGAGACCACGTAACGACAGTCTTGAAAGACCTACATTGGCTCCCAGTACCTTTCCGAGCACAATTCAAAGTGTTGGTGCTGACCTTTAAAGCCCTAAGCGGTTTCGGTCCAGTATACCTGAAGTAGCGTCTCCGCCACCATCGTTCAGCCCAGACACTGAGATCCAGTGCCAAGGGCCTTCTGGCAATTCCCTCACTGTGAAAAGTGAGGTTACAGGGAACCAGGCAGAGGGCCTTCTCGGTAGTGGCGCCCGCCCTGTGGAATGCCCTCCCATCAGACATCAAAGAGATAACCATTACCTTCTATGCTGTTACTATTTTTTTTTTTTTTTACATAAGTAAAAAGTGACCTTTCCCCATCTGGCATGGTGGTGTGCCTCGAGATTTTTTTCATGAAACAAGTGTGCCTTTGCCCAAAAAAGGTTGGGAAACACTGCTCTAACCAACTCTGCTATCCTGCTCATGAAGATGAGCACACACATACTGCAACCTACAGAGTCCTTTTAGGCAAGCCGGAGGACTTGTCTAGCCAAAATTGACTTTAAACATCCCTACTTGCAGCAGTCTCAATATGCTCTTTTGCAAAATGCTGTTTTATAGTGCCACCAAGTTTTAAATGAAAGTTGTGATGTGGTTTTGGGGGCGGGTTTGCAGGAAATTGAAGGGAGCAGAATTTTATTTACATAAACAAATGAGAGTTCATTTTCTTTATGCAGCCGTATATACTTAGGTGTATGTCCACGAGAAGAAATGTTAATACGGGTTTTATGTTAGACATTTTGTGAAGGTGGTGGTTCAGGAAAAGTGGGCATGATTGCCGCTGTCCCTGTGTAAGTAGCTTTCATGTATCTGACTTACACTTAGAAAAATAACCACATGTCATTTGTGTTCACCAGCCTTTAGCCTCAACAGTTCTTTGGATTACTGAGAAGCTGAGATCAGTACAGTGGTACCTCGGGTTATATACGCTTCAGGTTACATATGCTTCAGGTTACAGACTCCGCTAACCCAGAAATAGTACCTCAGGTTAAGAACTTTGCTTCAGGATGAGAACAGAAATCGTGCTCCGGCGGCAGCAGGAGGCCCCATTAGCTAAAATGGTGCTTCAGGTTAAGAACAGTTTCAGGTTAAGAACGGACCTCCAGAACGAATTAAGTACTTAACCCGAGGTACCACTGTAGTTCTTTTTCTGACTGTTTCACAGAACAAGAAGCAGAGGTCCTCTAGTAGTTCAAGAACTGCTTTCTTGTGGCAAGATCTCACGTTGCTACAACATTTGTTTGAATACTGGAACCATGTGGACAGGACAAACTGCATCAGAAAGATCCACATGGTTCCTGGATTCACATACCAGCAGTAATGTGTGAGCTCATCATGGAAAAGAAGGGCCAACTATGCTAAAAAATATACATGAATGCAGTCTTAATTACAAAGAGTGTGTGGGGGAGGAATAGTAAGTGAACTTACAGTGATGCGAGTCGGTAGGACTTGAGTGACTTGTTGAAGGCAGTCAGCCAAGAGCAAACCTTGGCTACATCTCTTAGTGCAAACCATGAGTCTGGGTTCAGATGTAGTGCTAAGCCAAACGATGACTTAGCTTTGGGTAGAGCAGCAGCAGCTGGACTTGGGGAGGTGTGAAGGCAGCCATTGTTTATCCTGGTGAGTACCCATATACTTCCTCGTACAGATTTAGCCATAGCTGGGCTTCGTGCTATGTGCAAACCAGACCGCTATGTGCCAGAACCTGTAAATATATCAAAACA